CAATGCAAAACCCATCAAAAAGGACTACATATGAGTAAAGGGTCAATAGAACAAGAGGACATAACAATAATAAATATCTATGCACCAAATGATGGAGCTGGAAATTATATAAAACAAACATTAACAAAACTGAAAAAATGACATAGCCAACACCATTATAATAGTTGGAGACTTCAATACACCAATCTTAAGAAAAGATAGAACTACCAGAAAGAAACTCAACAAAGATACTGAAGAATTTAATCACACAATAAACCAATTCCATTTCATAGATATTTATAGGATAATGCATCCCAAAAAAGCGCAGTATACCTTCTCTCTAATGTGCATGGAAAGTTCTCCAGAATAGATCACATTTTAGATCACAGGCAAGCATCAATAAATTACAAAACATAGAAATAATACAAAGCATCTTCTCAGACCACAATGCTACAAAATTAGAAATTAATAACAAGAGGAGAAAGGATGGGGGAAAACCATACATTTGGAAGCTGAACAACACTTTGCTTGAACTTAAGTGGGTCCTAGAAGAAATAAAAATGAAATTAAAAATGTTCTTGAAACAAATGACAATGAAAACACCACTTACCAAAACCTTTGGGAAACAGCCAAAGCAGTACTCAGAGGTCAATTTATAGCAATAAGCAAACACATCAAAAGACAGGAAAAAAATGACCATTGACTCTCTAACCCAATATTTCCAACAAATTGAAACAGAACAGCAGGAAAATCCAATATCCTCTAAAAAAACTGAAATTATAAAAATTAGGACAGAAATAATGAAACAGTTGAAACCATTAACAAAACTAGAAGTTGGTTCTTTGAAAAGGTCAATAAAATCAAGAAACAACTAGCAAAACTAACAAAGGAAAAGACACAAATAATCTGATTAAAAGATGAAAGGAGCAATGTCACAACAGAACCAACTAAAATAAAAAGGCTAACAATGGAATATTATGAAAAACTATACTCAAACAATCATGAAAACCTAGAGGAAACAGACAAATTCTTAGAAATTCACAATCTACCTAAACAAACAGAAATTAAAACCTGAACAGACACATTTCAAAATAAGAAATTGGAAAGGTGACAAAACAACTTCCAGCCAAAAAAAGCCCTGGACCAGATGGTTTTACAAGTGAATTTTATCAAACATTCAGAAAAGAACTGGCACCAATTCTAAATAAACTCTTTCAGAAAATAGAGAAAGATGGAACTCTCCCAGACTCATTATATGAAGCAAACATATCCTCGGTACCAAAGCCAGGTAAAATGCCACCAAAACAGAAAACTATAGGCCAATATAACTCATGAACATAGATCCGAAAATCCTGAATGAAATCCTGGTCAATAGAATCCAACGATACATTAAAAAAAAAAAAAGATAACTCACCATGACCAAGTGAGAGTCATAACGGGTATGCAAGGATGGTTCAACGTAAGAAAAACAATTATTGTAATTCATCACATTCATGAAGCAAAGAACAAGAACCACATGACCTTATCAACTGATGCAGAAAAGGCCTTTGACAAAATCTAAGACCTTTCCTAATTAAAACCTTCAACAGAATAGGAATAGAGGGCAATTTCCTCAACAGAGTAAAAAGTATATAGGCAAACTCAAGAGCCAACATTGTTCTCAATGGAGAGAGATTAAAGGCATTTCCTTTGAGAACAGGAACCAGGCAAGGATGCCCACTATCAACTCTCTTATTCAATATTGTATTGGAAGTCTTAGCGATAACAATAACACAAGAGAAGCAAATAAGAGGTATCCAAATTGGCAAAGAGGGGGTAAAATTATCTCTCTATGCAGATGATATGATAGAATACTTAGAAAATCTTAAAGACTTAGCAAGAAAACTACTGGACATTGTTGACCAATTCAGCAAAGTGGCAGGATACAAGATCAATGTACAAAAATCAACTGGATTTCTCTACAGTGGCAAAGAGAATACAAAACTGGAGCTAAGAGAAACAATACCCTTCACAATAGCGAATCACAAAAATAAATACTTGGGAGTAAATCTAACCAGAAGCACAGAAGATCTATTCAAAGAAAATACAAAACATTGCTACGAGAAATAAAAAGATACCTGGAGAAATAGAAGAATATACCTTGCTCTTGGATAGTAAGATTCAATATTGTAGAAATGACAATACTGCTAAAGGCAAATAACACATGCAATGCAATTCCAATACAAATACCAATTTCATTCTTTAATGCGATGGAAAAGGCAATCTCCAATTTCATTTGGAATGCAAAGAAACTCCGAATAAGCAAAGCACTCCTTAAAAAGAGAAACAAGTTCAGAGGTATCACATTGCCTGATTTCAAATCCTACTACACTGCTGTGGTGTTACTGGTATGACGACAGACACATAGATCAATAGAACAGAATTGAGAACCCAGAAATCAGCCCATCTACCTGTGGTCATCTGATGTTTAACAAGGAGATGAAATCAGTCAAGTTAGGGAACAACTGCCTTTTTAACAAATGGTGGTGTCAAAATAGGAAAATTACCTAAAGAAAACTTAAGCAAGACTCACACCTCACACCATACACAAAAACTAACACAAAGTGGATCAAGGGCCTAGGACTAAAACCAAAGATGATAAACTTCATTAGAGAAAAGCTTGGAAAAACTCAAGAAGCCCTAATCCACAACATAAACAGTCTTCCAAGAATCCTGAAAAACCTACAACCAGGAGAGGATAAAATTGATGAATGAGACCTTGTAAGAATCAAATCCCAATGCACATCCAAAAACTTCTCCAGAAGGGTAAAAAGGAAAACCACAGACTGGGGAAAAAACATTTGGTAATGACATGTCTGATAACGGACTTATATCTAGAATTTATAAAGTACTTGAGGCACCACAACAAGATAAAGGTAAACAACGCAATTGAAAAATGGGTACCGGATATGAACAGACACTTAACTAAAGAAGACATTCAAATGGCAAACAAACACGTGCAAAAGTGTTCAAAATCCCTAGCTCTAAGAGAGATGCAAATCAAAATAACTACGAGATATTGTATAACAATGAAAGAATTTTTTTTTTCTTTTCAAAGAGAAAAGCGACTGGAGAGGGGAGTGGGCAGGGAGGAAAATGTACAAAAATGAATGAATGGAAATTCAAGTTCGCTATAATCTTTCATTAAAATCTCAATTTAAATATAGAATAACATTTTCACACTGGGGAAAAAATAAAAAGTAAACTATAGACTTTAGATAACAGAAGTGTGTCAATAACAGATTTGAATTAATCATAATGTGTCAATATTGCTTAACTGATTGTAAGAAAATGTACCACGTTAACACAAGTTATTAGTAATATGAAAGGCTATTAACATTGTAGAGATTGTCATCAATGTCATGAAACTAATGTGTGTGAATTGCTGGATAATTTGTTTTGTAAATTTTATGGTTTAAACTGTCACCCAAATTACAATAAAAAGTTGAAAAATAAAAAGAATAATGTGGAAAGCTGGAGTGAAAGTAAAGGGGTTATCCAAAAACCCAGAAAGTATATGGTGTACTTCATGTTCACTTTTTCTGGGAACCTAAAACTGTTGTAAAAGAAATAAAGCTTGCTACTTAAACATAAACACAGAAGAGAAGGGACAGGCCATCTTGGTTTTATCAAAGCAAGAAACTCTCAAGCACTAAGCAGGTGGCATACTCCATTGGTAGTTGCATTGTTATTTAACCCAGAAGCCATTCAAACTTCTCCAGTGGTTCCAATTCACCAGAAATTTCATGGGAAAGAGATGAGCAATGCCCCCCCCCCAGAAATTTACAGCTTCAGAAACCTGCTGGAGGGTCATTTATGAATTGGTTTTGACTTAATGGCAATGAAATTGAGAAATAGCCTTGGACAAAACAACTATGAGATATCATCTCACCCCAGTAAGAGTAGCAAAATTCAACAGAGCAGCAAATAAATGCCGGTGAGATTGTGGAGAAACTGGATCCCTTAGTCACTGTTAGTATGAGTGTATAATGTACAACCACTAGGGAAAACAGTATGGTGCTTTCTCAAAAAGTTGGAAATAGAAATACCATTTTACCCAGCAATTCCACTACTGGGAATATGCCCCAAAGAAATCAGAACTGCCACCCAAGCAGATATATGAACACCCATGTTTATCGCTGCTTTGTTCACGATAGCAGAGTTGGAAACAACCCAAGTGCCCATCATAAACAAATGGCTAGAGAAACTGTGGTATATTCACACAATGAAATAATACACAGCATTGAAAAACAAAGAACTCATGATATATTATACAAAATGAGTGACTCTGGAGAACATTATGCTGAGTGAAATACCTCAGTCATAAAAGGACAAATAGTGCTACTGTTATAAAACAGGACTGATATCAGGGTTGGGGGGAAACTAATAAGAGGGGTTAAATAATGTACACTGTGTTGAACAGATGAGGGAGAGGCCTGCTTAAAAGGAATGCATGATTAGGTATTATTTGCATGGCAAGAGTCCAGAATAAGAGCTGCATAGTAAAGTGGACTGGAGGGGGGCAGGGGGATTGTATAACAATGAAATATTTTTTTTTTCTTTTTCCAAAGAGAAAAGTGAACTAGGAGGAGGAGTGGGCAGGGAGGAAAATGTGCAACAATGAATGAATGAGAGAAAAATTGTTTTTTCATTTAAAAAAAAAAGAGACACAAGACTTCAAAGTATAAAGGGAACAGCTCACTTTCTCTCTAAGTGTTCTGAAGACCAGATGAATGAAGAGGCCTCTCAAGAAGAGATGAAAGCCTAAAGCCCTCTGGAAATGCTTGGATGCCCAAAGCCATGTGACTATCCTCTGCTCTCTGTTTGGATGTTCTTCCTTTGAGACATCCATGCTCTTTCCTCTGTTGTGTAACCTAGACCTGTCACAGTCATTTTTTCATAACATGGCACCTGAGTGCCATGTCAAAAATATACAGATCAAAATAGTAACAAAAGGTAGCTTGGGATGGCTTCCCACTCTCATGTATGGCCGCTGGCATGCTGTTCACTCAGTGAATCCTAACATTCGAAAAGATGATGGAAAAGATGCCCAGAAAAGAGTCAGTTCCCAGTTCATCCATGAACAAGGTGATCTACACACTGTACTGAAAGATAGAATTCTAGAACACCTCCAGGACCAGGAGAAGATGAGCATAAAGAAAGACGATGTGGATGGCACAGATGAAACATTAAGAACTAAGGAAGCAACTGGGAGAGAGTGCTCAAGGATCTGGACCAGCAGATACTGTAAAAAGTTCAGACAAATCTCCTTTGGAAAAACAAAAGAAGAGAAGAGGGAGGAAAAGAGGTAGACCTAGGAATCCTTTAACTCAAGGACACAAAGGCCCAGTGAAAAGTGGCCGTCCAAGAGGTGAAGATCTAAGAAAGTGTGTAGCTGAAGCTGTGGATTTTTCTTCCTCTGTACTGCCTGTCACTTGTGGTGAGGTGAAGGGAACTTTATATAAGGAGAAACTTGAACAAGGAGTCTCAGAGAAATCCATACATCAAGAAGATGGAAACTGGTTCACCCCCAACGAATTTGAAATCAGAGGAGGCTACGCGAGATCAAAGAACTGGAAGCTGAGTGTGCGCTGTGGTGGATGGCCTCTGCTGTGGCTGATGAAGGAAGGATTCCTCCCTCATCCACCAAGAGGACGTCACTGGATAAAAATGAGAAAATCAGAGTATCACAACAAGGACTTAGCTGAGTCTTGTCTGGGGAACTCTGATGACTGTGAGGTGTGCCGCGATGGAGGGGACCTATTCTGCTGTGACACTTGCTCAAGGTCCTTCCATGAGCGCTGTCACATTCCACCTGTGGAGAAGGAGAGGACCCCGTGGAGCTGCATCTTCTGCAGGGTGAAGGGTTCTTCAGGAGGCCAAGCGTTTCAACAGGAATCTGAGATCCTGGAGAGGCAGATGTTGCCCAAGGAACAGTTGAAATGTGAGTTCATCCTCTTGAAGGTCTATTGCTGTTCAGAGATCTCCTTTTTCGCCAACATCCCGTATTATTACTATAATAAAGAGGTTTCTGGGGCCCTAAAGGAACCCATGTGGCTAAATAAAATCAAGAAGAAACTGGATAAGAAGAGTTATCGCCAGGTGCAGGGATTCGTGCAGGACATGCGCCTCATCTTCCACAACCACAGAGCATCCTACAAGAACAAGGACTTTGGTCAAATGGGACTGAGGCTGGAGTCTGAATTTGAGAAGAATTTCAAGGAAGTGTTTGCTATTCAAGAAATAAACGAGAAGAGCCCACTGGTACGTGAATGATGGGACGCCCTGGCCACTTGTAGTTTTATGGGCAGGGCCTCTCGGCACTGTTGCTGACTAACACTACCCACCCGTCGGATCCCTGCCCTGCCCTACGGTGAACAGAACCGCTTCCCCTGGAGGTTTTGCCCCACTTGCTTCACGGTGGAACCAGTACTGTGACTGCTGCTTCTGTGCCCCCTGCGGTCCTGGTGCAGTCTTCAGATTCTGTGTCTTTCCTCCAGAACCCGATTATGCTTCTTACACTATGCTTCTCAGAGAATTCCCTTAATAAATCACTTTCTTTAAAAAAAAAAAAAGAAAGAAAGGGTAGCTTGGGATCAATCAATCAGTAAGGACTTAGAAACAATAATCCCCAATGTTAGTGAAGGGACTGGGAAGAAGCCCTATGGGATGAGTGAGGGGTGAATAAATCCCTAAAAGACACATTCCCTGCCCCCATTATTTTTATTAAAAAATATTTTCTCCCCACTTTCCTTCATTGTCATTATGTCAATTATGTCATATAATCATTAGCTATTAAAATTAGTCACCATTGGACCTTGCCCCTATTATCCATCCTTTTAGGTCCCCACCAAATCTATCACATTTCCTTTACCCTCTCCCTCCAGCCACCAAATTGTGCAAACCTGTGATTTTGCTCCATCCATCCTCCCCCTCTGCTCCCACCTCTCCCCACCTTGCATCCTCATACATGTTTTACTAGTTATCTTTCTATTTTTACAACAATGCTTTTACGCAGTATTTGTCCTTATGAGGTTGAATTATTTCACTCAGAATAATGTTGTCCAGTGTCTCCAAAGTTATGTAATATTTTTTTAAATTGCTGCTCATGAGTGCTGAGTAGTATTCCATCATGTGAATGTACCATAATTTCTCAATCCGTTCAGTTGTGGATGGACATTTGGGCTGTTTCCAGGCTACACTGCTATAAACATTGGTGTACAAATCTCTGTGACTGAGTTCTAATTTCCTTGGTTTACATGCATAGCAAGTAATCGGAGAGACCATGACTTCAATCAGACACAATTTAGTCCTCAAATTGACATGACTACTCCTCAATAATTTGGAGAAGTTCATAACTACAGATTTTCCTAGTGCACTACATCTCCTTATTTCCTGACTGCTGGTACCAAGGCTGTTAATTGCAAGATGAAGCTGTTGACAGTTTCAATCTCCTTTGCATCCATCATGATGCTGCTTATTAGTCCAGTAGTAAGAATGTATGTTTTCTTGACATTGTTATTCTCTTGTGCCATCAAGTCATTTGCAACTCGCAGTGACACTATATTACAACAGCCCTAAATCCTGCTCTATACTGTGCCAATTTTGTTGTTTCTGACACACCTAGCCACATTACCCCAGTCACTGAATCAATCCGTCTCATCCATGGTCTTCCTCCCTTACGCTGTCCCTCCACCCTCCCAAGCATGATGTTCCTCTCCAAGGACTGGTTCCTTCCTTGCAATGTGTCCAAAGTATGTCAATCGATGCTTCAGAATCCTTGCCTCCAAGGAGCAGCCTGGTTTCACCCTCTCAAGGACAAATCTGTTTGTTCTCTTAGCAATCCATGATATATTCAATACTCTTCTCCAGCACCACAGCTCAAAGACATCAATTCTATTATCTCTAGTCATTGTCTCACTTTCTAATGCAGAGCAAGTAACTGCAAAGACTATAGCCTGGATCAAGCACACCTTAGTCTCCAGATTGACATCATTGTTCTTCTTTGGAGAGGTCTCTAACAGCAATTTGTCTTTTAATTTCCTGGCTGCTGGTATCAAAAGTCTTGATCGTGGAGTCAAGCAAACTAAAGCTGTTAACAATCTCAATCTTTTCACCATCTATCATGATGCTGCCAATAGGCCCAGTGATGAGAACCTTTGTTTTCTTGATGCTGAGCTTCAATCCATGTTGAAGGCTATAGTCCTTGACCTTCCACAGCAAGTGCTTCAGGTCTTACTCAGTTTCAGCAAGCAAGTTTGTGTCATCTGCATAACGCAGATTGTTGTTGAGTCTTCCTCCAATCCTGATGCCACATTTATCTTCATAGAATCCAGCCTCCCAGATAATCTGTTCTGCAGACAGATGAAAAGGTATGGGGATAGGACACATCCTTGGCATACATCCTTCCCAATTTTGAACCATGCAGTGTTTCCTTGCTCTGTTTTAACAAATGCCTCCTGGTCCAAGTATAAGTTTCACATAAGCACAATCAAGTGTTCTGGGATTACCATTCTTCTCAGAGTCAGCCAGTTTGTTGTGATACACACAGTTAAATGCCTTTGCATAGTCAATGAAACACAGACATTCCTCTGGTACTCCCTGCTTTCAGCCATGATCCACCTAACATTAGCTCTTCTAAACAGCCTGCACTTCAGGCAGTTCTCTGTTGATGTGCTGTTCCAGCTGATATTGGATAATGTTCAGCAGAATCTTGCTTTCATGTGATATCAATGATATTGTCCTATAATTCCTGCACTCTGTCAGGTCACGTTTCTTTGACACTGAGTTGCAATAAATACTGAAGGCTGCATTCCTTGATCTTCTGCAACAAGTACTTTAAGTCCTACTCACTTGCAGCACTAAGTGGTACAGCACTTGTCTGTCAATTTGCTGTACTGAGATAATTTGAGGTTGCTGTGATACTGAAATCTGTGCCACTGGTATGTCAAATGACATAAGAGTTACCCAGGCTGGACAGGTTCTGCTGGAATTCCCTGATTAAGACAGACTAAGAAGCACGGTGAGCCATCTACTTTCTAAATAACAGGTCTTTGCAAACCCTATAAACAGGTAGCATTTTGATAGAGAAAAGACTGGCATTGTCAAGGACTTTATTTTACTTGGATCCACGATCAACAATAATGGAAGCAATGGTCAATAAATCAGATGATGCATTACATTGGGTAAATCTGTTGCTAACGACCTCTTTTAAAGGCATAAGGTACAGCTGGCCATAGTCATGATATCTTCAGTTGCTTCATATGCATGTGAAAGGTGAATTATGAGTAAGGAATACCAAGGACAATATCATGTCCTTTGCATTATGGAGTTAGCAAAGAATTTTGAATATACCACAGACATTCAAAAGACCAAATAAATTTGTCTTAGAAGAAGTACAGTCAGAACAATTTTTCCTAAAAAACTTATTATTAATTTTAATGAAAGTTTACAGAGACTTAGGATTTCCAGTCATTCATTGTGGCACTTTTCTCCCTACCCCACCCCAAATCACTCTTCTCCTTGAAAAGAAAAAGAAAACTTATTTCATTTTTATACAATCCCTCCCCGCAAGTTCATTCCACTATGCAGCCTTCACTCTGGACTTCTGTAATGACAAGAATATCCATTCATATATCCCTTTTAAACAGATCTTTTCCTTATCTGTTGCAATGCAATATACATCATTCCTCCTCTCCTTCTCTGTCTTTCCTCAATCCTGATGTCAGTCCTGTTTTACAACAGTGGCCTTATGCAAATATTTGTCCTTTTGTGACTGAGATATTTCACTCAGCAGAACGCTTTTACTGCACTGAAACAGATGAGGGAGAGAATAATTTAAAAGCAATGTATGATAGGGTATTAGGGTTATCACAGGAGTCCACAATTAAGGTTGCATAGTAGAATGTACTTGGGG